TTTTGAGATTGTTTTCTTTGACTTGGTTTGTGTCATTGGAGTTAAAGAAGGAAAGGAGGATTGGTAAACTATCAACGGTCATGGTTGATAAGGTTGGTCCAATTTCTTTATTTCTAAAAATTACTTGGCTATTTGTAATATTTGTATTATACACAAGAATAACATAATAGATTCCTAAACATGTATCAATCTCAAAGCGTACCTCTTCAATTCCATGTCCAAACACCTAAAAATCCAAACATTGATAAGGGGTAACATGATTTTTTTAAACTTACAATCTTATGTTAATAAATATTAGATAAATGTAAAAAAAATTAATAATGTCATCAAAGTTTAAATAAAAATAAAAATTTTATCCTTTAAAGTTTATTTTAGTACTTTTAAACAATAAATACAAAATTAATTGACCAAATTACACCTTCCAGAACCAATTAAAACGCACCACCCCAATAGCCACCACTACCAATTTCTATGTCTCACATGCATTTTTTCAAACACCTTATATGCATTGGCTGGCATATTTTGTCTGATTTTTATTATATGTTTCCGTGTTGTGGGACTTATATTTTATTGTTTGTTTAAAATCATAAAATCATTCCAATTACATTTTCATTCCAATAATATTTTCATCGTGCCTTCAAGCACGGACATACCCTAGTAATAACTGATCAAAAGAACATATTACACAGTGTAACTCTCAACCATTTCATCAAACACAGTTTCTCTCAAAATCAATCATAAAACAACAAAGGAAAAAAGGTGAAAGGATAATTGTCAAGTGAGTTATGTGTAATTTGCCCATACAATTTTATTTTCTTTATTTTGAGATTGTTTTCTTTGACTTGGTTTGTGTCATTGGAGTTAAAGAAGGAAAAGAGGATTGGTAAGTGATCACTGTCAACTTTCATGGTTCATAAGGTTGGTCCAATTTCTTTATTTCAAAAAATTATTTGGCTATTTGTAATATTTGTATTATACACAAGAATAACATAATAGATTCCTAAACATGTATCAATCTCAAAGCGTAACTCTTCAATTCCATGTTCAAACACCTAAAAATCCAAACATTGATAAGGGGTAACATGATTTTTTTAAACTTACAATCTTATGTTAATCAATATTAGTTAAATGCAAAAAAATTAATAATGTCGTCAAAGTTTAAATAAAAATAAAAATTTTATCCTTTAAAGTTTATTTTAGTACTTTTAAACAATAAATACAAAATTAATTGACCAAATTGCACTTTCTAGAACCAGTTAAAACCCACCACCCCAATAGCCACCACTATCAATTTCTATCTCTCACATGCATTTTTTCAAACACCTTATATGCATTGGCTGGCATATTTTGTCTGATTTTTATTATATGTTTCCGTGTTGTGGGACTTATATTTTATTGTTTGTTTAAAATCATAAAATCATTCCAATTACATTTTCATTCCAATAATATTTTCATCGTGCCTTCAAGCACGGGCATACCCTAGTAATAACTGATCAAAAGAACATATTACACAGTGTAACTCTCAACCATTTCATCAAACATAGTTTCTTTCAAAATCAATCATAAAACAACAAAGGAAAAAAGGTGAAAGGATAATTGTCAAGTGAGGTATGTGTAATTTGCCCATACAATTTTATTTTCTTTCTTTTGAGATTGTTTTCTTTGGGGTTAAAGAAGGAAAGTAGGATTGGTAAGTGATTGTTGTCAACTGTCATGGTTGATAAGGTTGGTCTAATTTCTTTATTTCAAAAAATTATTTGGCTATTTGTAATATTTGTATTATACACAGGAAAAATATAATAGATTCCTAAACATGTATCAATCTCAAAGCGTAACTCTTCAATTCCATGTTCAAACACCTAAAAATCCAAACATTGATAAGGGGTAACATGATTTTTTTAAACTTACAATCTTATGTTAATCAATATTAGTTAAATGCAAAAAAATTAATAATGTCGTCAAAGTTTAAATAAAAATAAAAATTTTATCCTTTAAAGTTTATTTTAGTACTTTTAAACAATAAATAAAAAATCAATTGACCAAATTACACCTTCCAGAACCAATTAAAACCCACCACCCCAATAGCCACCACTATCAATTTCTATCTCTCACATGCATTTTTTCAAACACCTTATATGCATTGTTAATATACCATTCAATCCAGATCTAAATATGTAACAAATGATTGGGACCTGAGAGATTTGCTGTTTATAGAGCTACCAAATCAAATGAAACATGGTTACTTACTTGAGCATCTCCGCAAAGCTCATAGCCTCGTCAATTCCAGGAATTGCATTTGCTAGATTGGACAAAAAACCATCCATTCCATCTGTGCCAAGAGCCTCTTCATTCTCCATGGATGGATCTACCTCCTATAGGAACCAAACAAACTATAAAAAATTAGGCTACATGACATCAAACCAGAGTATCAAAATTCATAAGATCAAATCGAATCAAAGTCTAGGTAACTGGATAATTATTAGGTATTTGATGAAGCATCACATGGCCAAGAATCATAACAACCCTGTGATCCAATATTCTCAGAAACTCAGATACAACTTTAGGTAAGGAATAAATCCAGAGAATGTCATGTGAACTTAATTCATAAACAGAGTAAACAATGGTTGAATTCCACAAACTTTTTTCTTTTTCTTTTTTTTTTTATATATATTTTCTAATCGGGTATCCCGATAAACCTAATTCATAAACAGAGTAAAGAATGGTTGAACTCCATAACTTTTTATTATTTATAAACAGAGTAAAGAATGGTTAGACAATGCATTTAGATCTACCAATTTCTGGTTTGCTCTCTTGCTGGAAATATACCATGATAGGTCAAATATACCAGATTCTTCTTTTAGATTCTTCATTTTGCAGTGGCTCCATTCATTCGGTCGTCGTTGCCACTGTTGATGAAGATTGGGATGGTGGAGAGAGAGAGGGAGGAAGAGAGAAGACGAAGAGGGTAATAGGGGGTTCGGGGTTGTGTCTCCAGCAATTGTTGGGCTCCAATAGGAATTGAAGAAGAGCATGGGAATGGGCTCCCATGGAGAGAGAGAGAGAGAGAGAGAGAGAGGGGTCTGTTCAAATTTTGAAATTTGGAAGAGAGAGACAAATTTTGAGAGGAGAGGAGTAGGTGTGAGAGATACATTTTGAGATATTTTGAAACTTACATTTTGCACCATTAGATCTTGATAGTAATTGATCTCAACCATTAAAATATTCAAATAGAACAAATGAGAGTGAGACATTTTCAGCCATTGGATTGAATCAATCTAATGGTCCATATGTTGACACATATACATTTTTGTATACATTTTCAAAAACCATCTTCCCTTATTATATAGATATATATATATATTTAACCCTTGTATTTTGTTTACTTTATTTGTACATTTTGCGTACAACATGGACATTGAGTTTTTCCTTTTTCCCCCTTCAAAATCAGCAAAGCTAGAACTCCAGCAAATCAGGTAAACAAATTTGTGTTGTTGGGCTAAACTTGTCATTGGAAAAAGTTTACATAATGTAAAAAAAAAGGGAAACACGAATTGGTGTTCTCACTTTATAGATTAGTATAGATAAACTTTTGTTGCTGATTAAAAAAGCTGCCTGTATTTTAGGAAAAAGGAAAAGGAAAGGAGAAAATAAAACACGATAATATAAGTAGTTACTTTTATTGCCTAGAAATTAATTATGTTCTTTGTAACTAGAGAGGTGGAGCCACGGTATGATGGTGCAAGAATAGAGAGAGATGTTGTAACTTTAAATTTTGTGAAGAAAATGATGGATGACTTTAAGAATCAGAAGTTCTTACACAAACGGTATGTATAAAATTCAACAGTAATGGTGTTATTGTTCTGATTATTGACTTGTTACTGTAATTTATCAAAAATAAAAAATAAAAATAAATTTATTGACTTTTTACTATTTTGTTGTTTTCTCTGTAAATATTTGTGTTCATGTGATAGATATGCCTTCTAGATTGTCTTACAAACAAGAGAAATGCTGTGCGCAGTGCTGTCTCTTGTTGATATAAATATTCCAAATGGAAAGCATTTCACTGTTTGTGGTGATGTACATGGTCAGGTAATTATTTTACTCTGATGTCCTTATAGTGGTAGATTAAGTGCAAAATATAGCTTTTCAATGTAACTTTTGTTAGCTCTTGACCCATATTAGGTCCTCATTTATGGTTTCATTATAATTTTTCTTTGTTGTGGCTGTGTAATAGCGGCTTGCCATTTAGTTTGTGGCGTTGAAGATATGTGCTTATGATAGCAAGTTAAACATGTACATTGACAATCAAAATTATTTTAGACGGATGAAACCAAAGGTACATGTCTTTCATGGACATGCGAGAGCAGATTGGCTTGTTGATGCAAAGCATGCACCGGGTGGGAAAGTGAGAATTTTTGGAATTTTACATAGGGTTTACTCGAGTCCTTGGGTAATAAGGTGTTAGGTTGATTCAAGTTCTGTTTTGCTGTCATTTTAGGTTGACTCTGGTCATGTTTTATATCTTAGTTGTCAAAGGTATAATGGTAATTTCTGGATTTATCGGACATGGGTGTGGTAACAGTGGTATATGGTTCTTATTTTAGGTATATTCATGTTATTAGGTTGTTGTATGTGTTTCTAAGTATGAAATGGTTGAATTGTCAATGATTCTTATTTTGGAAATCTATTTCTCATAGAAATGGGAATAGACCAATAAATATTTATTTACTCATTTAACTCAAAGCGTTGGCCTTTAGGAAATTTGAGATTCTGTCATGTGATGTATTAGCCCAGGGTGAAGCATGGGAAATCTACTTAACATTTTCTTTTTTTATTTTCTTCTTCAGTTTTTTATGCATATACTTAAATGACAATAGAGTATTGAAACCTAGCAACACATACCTCAATAATAATGACAAAAATAATATGCAACTTTACTTTTCACAAGTTACTAGTTGCAGCCCCTTGACAATCATTTTTAACTCTCAAAACATGCCATATTAAGCTTAATCAACCCAAATGCTTTTCCTTACATTTTCCTGTCAAGAATTTCAAAAACAAATAACCAAGGATATTCCACCTAATTTAAATCTGCATTCACTCTTTTAAATGAATATTTCAAATGAATATCCATTCTGGTCTCCATATGCTTGTTGGTTAGAGTAAATTAGCACAGCAAGATTGTGTAAATTTTATGAAGCCTAACTAGATTACTAATGCAATTAAATTTCCTTCCAACCTATTTTGAGACTAGGAACTACATACATTCATTTAAGTTAATTGAAAAAAAGTTAAAAATAATCCGACTTAGTCAAAAAATGGTGTTGTAAATAGGACATGGCGTTGTAGCGTATACGTAAATAGGATAAATGGTATGTAAATAGGACACGGTCTTGTAGTTGCCATAAATGGAAAAATACTTATAATTATGTAGAATGATTACATGTAAAATATTACTGGTTGCCTAATATATGCATTCAAGTTTTCCAAATTTTTATTTCGTATATATTTGAGTATGCAAAACTAATGATTAATTTGAAAAGATTAATTAAGTTCGAGTTTTATATGTTTTTTTTTATATATATAATTTTAAAATGCCAATATTTAGTCAATACTAATGATTAATTTTATTTTTGCAAATGATTTTTTACGTAGAATTGTGGATATGACTTTTTTTGACAAATACAGAAGGACATTGTTTTTATACCTCCGTCCTTATAATGGTTTGTACAAATTATTTTTTTGGCGTGGTAAATATCTAAAATTTAGCATGGTACAAATTAGAAATTAGTAGAAATTAGTTTTGGGGTGGCATAGATTATCTTTTTGGTGTGGTACAGATTTCCTTTTGGATATTAAATTTGGTTAATCCTCTATTATGTATGGAACTAAATTTTTGGGGTTTTTCCTTCTATTGCTTGAGTATGATCTGTTACAGCTATAACTTTTGTATAATCTTCATGTTAAATATAATTAAATTTAGGTGAATGCTTTTCTTTGAACATTTATTAGTATTAGTTATGTTGTGTTGCTCTTTGAATGTTTTAGCCTTAAGTTTTGTGGATCTTGTAATTGAGTTTGATCTGAAGGTGACTCTTCTCAAAGGACTTAGACAGGAATTTACGAGCAGGTATCTTCTACACATTGATATATATATACACACACGCATGTACACAATCACACATGTGGATGAGGTTAAGGGTGAGCCTACTGAAAACCCATAATGGTCTTAAAAGATTGAGAGTGAACCTATTGGAAAACTTAGATATGTTATATTTGTTGTATGGGTTGTTGGTGGAGGTTGCGGGTGAACCTACTGAAAACCCATGTATATTGTTTTATTTATTGTAGCGTTATTGAAAACCCATCTATGTTAAATGGAAATGCAACATCAAGAAAAAAGAAAAAGAAACATAACCAATTAAATATCTAATAATATATGCATGGATATGTTAGTATTTGCCCTTAAAAACCAATTTATTGACTTTATTAATTGATTATATAAATTACTTGGCATTTTATTTTACATTTTGTATGTCGTTATTCGTAATGTTATATTTAATGTTACATATGATGTGAACATAAGGTCCCTTGGATAACATTGTAGAAAAACATGCTAATGGTTAATGAACCAAAAGTTGGGAGTTATGATTTTTCGGTGTCTTGTAGACCCAATTAATGTTCTAGGCTATGGGTGTTGATTTGGGCGTCGCATTACTATGGCCTACACCTGTTTTGCTGCTATATGATAGAATGATTAACTCCATCATTGAGGTAGTGACCTTAGGCAAATAGGTAGGTGTTATGCAATAAGTACATGCATTGAACATGATCGGTTTTGAGAACACCTATGGAATGATCACTGTCAGTTTAAAAAGTAGTTTCATTACAATACACTTATTTTCCTTTGACCTGAGGGGCTTGTATAAATTAATTAACTATTCATTTAACTTTGATATTGTTAATCGGTGACGCCGAACTAAAGGCTATACACGGACATGTTGGGTTATATGAGTGGTAATTGATTTATATGGGTGCTTAACATGGAATCCATTATTCTCAAAGTAAGAAAGTATATTTAAGCAATTTTTCCTGTTAACGTTGGACCAAAAGAAAACCAGCCGGTTACTTTTTCATAAAAATATTTTTATACATATATAATTACAAAAATACTATTTTTAAAAATGCTTTTGGGGTCCAATTAGCAGAAGGAAAAATTTAAAATTCGGTTACATGAGTTAGGGTTTTTTATGGTGATAAATTTGTTCATACCTAGTAGCTCATGTGAAATATATTTTGGTGGAAGGAAGTTTGTGACTAATTGTGAGAAAGGGTTTCACTTGTAATTCTCTACTTTTAGGAGTTTAATTGTAATGCGTTGATGGACATTATTGCAATTAGTGGAAGTTCTATATTATCTATTTAAAAGATAATTAATAAGAAATTGGATAAGTTGTATCTTGTATATTTAAGATAAAAGATACATCTTTTTTTTTTATCCCTACAAGTAAAAGATAGAGATCCCTAAGGATTCCATCTACACGCAAACTCTATCATGTGTTGTGTATATATATGTGATGTATTTGATACAAAAATTGGCCACTAGAATTTTTAAGGTCTGTAAAAAAATATACAAAAATAAAAGCAAGAGAGTGCAAGGTGAATTACTTTGGAGGCGAGACACTTGGATCACTTTGTGAGGTATTATCAAACGCTTGGATTGAGGTATTTTAGATTGTGTAATCAGGTGGTATTTCTTTGAAAAATTGTTTTTCAAAATAAATTATTTTTCCACAAACTTTCAAGATATAGGACAGGACTCTCGGTTTGAAAACTATGTAGAAAAATACAGGCTATGTTTGGAGCAGCTCTGGAAACATGATTCTAGAGCTGTTTTCAATGTTATTGTTTGGTTAAAATTTTAAAAATTAATTCCAATACAACATTTCAAAACTCATTTAAGCTTTTGTTTGGAGAAACGAGTTTGTTTTTTTGGATTTTGAATTTTAAAAAGCGCGACTTGGGTCAACTTGGTCATCCTTTTGGACGCCCGGTCGATTGATCAGAGAGCAGTGTGTATTTTTATTTTTATTTTTGCAATTTTTGCCTAATTCTTTTCGGGTTTTCGTGTTGAAACTAAGCTTGCAAATAGCATTAGTAGCTGGAATTCTCACTCCCCAAACCCCACAATTCAGGACCGGTACGATTCGGTTTATAAAGCCATTTGAAACAAGAACTTCGGAGATCAATGGACATGAGACTAAGTTTCTCAATAGTTCTACAGCGACTTCAAGACTCTGAGGAGTCGGAGCAGAGTCCTAGAAATTCTTCAGGCTCTCAATTCCACATTCTCTAGCAATGAACAACTTCAATTGATCATCATCGTCCGATACCAAATTACACAAACACCCAATTGAATTCTCTTGCGCGAAGCTTATGCTAGAAGCTAAAAGTGAGAGAAGAATCGAAATCACAAGTTATAATAGAGAAGATTAAATCAAAATTTAAAAAAAAAAAGGTAATTGCAATTTATAATCAAAAATATTTTTTAAAAAATAATTTTCACCAAATATACAACCCAAAGTTATTTTAAAGTAGTAATTGCATATTTATTTTGAAAAAAAAAATTATTTTGTTTGTAATATTTTCAATTTAAACAATTTTATGTTATTTTTTTTAATAATTATTTTTTTGAATTGAATTTTAAAAAAGTTTGGTTATGAGTTTTGAACAGAATTTTTAATAAAGTTTTGAATTGTGTATGTGGTTATGAGTTATAACTTTTTGAATTAAATTTTAAAAATTCTTTTCAAAACTTATAATCAAATAAACTTTCTTATTTCACATGTCACATCAAACATTCAAAACTCAATTTAACACCCAATTCAAAACTCAATTTAAAACTCTTTTCAAAATTCCTAACCAAACAAATTCTCTATACTCAAATCATAATTCTAAGACTCACAAACTCACAATACAACTTTATTCTTAAATCATATTTAAAATTCTACCAAACGCTACCATACTTTTTCAAATTAAGTTTAAAAATGCACTTTTCCAATACTTAGGCTTGAAAATAGGCCATTGGGGGCTAAAATCACGAAAAAGCCATGAGAAGGCCTGGGAACACCACTAACACCTCAGGATGGACCAATGTAAGTTATGAAAACTTACGGAACTAGCACGGGACTCCCGATTTGAAAACTAAGTCAAAAAATACACTTTTCTAACATTTAAGTTTGAAAATTAGCCATCGAGGGCCAAAATCGTGTAACAGTCACAAGAAGGTCTGGGGAATACTTCGAACACCTCAGGAGAGACCAATGTAAGATGTGAAAACTTATGAAACTAGCACGGGACTCTGGGCTTGAAAAATGCACTTTTTCAACACTTACGTTTGAAAATAGGCCACCAAGGACCAAAATTATGAAATAGCCACAAGAAGGCTCGAGGAACACTCCAAACACCTCAGAAGGGACCAATGTAAATTATGAAAACTTACAGAACTAACACGGGACTCCTGATTTAAAAACTAAGTTTAAAAATGTACTTTTCCAATACTTAGGTTTGAAAATAGGCCACCAGGGGCTAAAATTGTGAAACAGCCTTGAGAAGGCATGGGAAACATCTTCAACACCTTGGGAGGGACCAATGTAAGTTTTGGAAACTTATGGAGCTAGCATGGGGCTCTCATTTTGAAAACGAAATTGAAAAATGCATTTTTCCAACACTTAGGCTTGAAAATAGGCCATCGAAAGCCAAAATCGTGAAACAACTACAAGAAGGCCTAGGGAACGCCCTTAACACCTTGGAAGAGACCATTGTAACTTGTGAAAACTTACAAAACTAGCACGGGACTCCCAGTTTGAAAACTAAGTCAAAAAATGTACTTTTTCAACACTTAGACTTGAAAATAGGCTATCGGGGGCCAAAATCATGTAAAAGCCACGAGAAGGCCCGGGAAACATCCTGAACACCTCAGGAGTGACCAATGTAAGTTGTGGAAAGTTATGAAACTAGCATGAGACTCCCGGTTTAAAAAATGCACTTTTCCAACACTTTGGCTTAAAAATAGGCCATCGGGGCCAAAATCGTGATACAACAATGAGAAGGCCCAGGGAACACTCCGAACACCTTGGAAGGGGCCAATGTAAGTTTTGAAAACTTATAGAACTAGCATGAGACTCCCGGTTTGAAAATTAAGTCGAAAAATGTATTTTTCCAACACTTAGGCTTGAAAATAGGCCATCGATGGCTAAAATCGTGAGAGAAGGTATAGCGACCCCGGTCTTTTCCCATTTGATTATTGTATTCGGACTTAGGTTCCGTATATTCTGTCATTGTATAATTGTTGTTGTCGTCCTTTATTTTCTCATTTGGAGTTATAGGATGTGTTGGGCAGGTTTGTTTCAGGTTGGTTGGGTTCGTAAACCAAGTGTTGCTGTCCAGTTTTTGGGTTGGTCGCTCGAGCCAGGGCTTGGTCGCTCGAGCGAGGGTTGTATTTTGTGTCTTCTGGCTCGATCCAGATTTTCTTCGCTCGAGCGAGCGATTGCGTCTGGTATAGACCTGAGGGCAGTGTTTCTTCGCTCAAGCGAGATTTATCGCTCGAGTGAGCGAGGGTTTGTTTCGAGTTCCTTGCTCGAGCGAGAATTTTGTCGCTCGAGCGCTTGCTCCTGGGTTGCAGACCTGAAGCATTGCATTCTTGCTCGAGCGAGTTTTCGTGTGTCTGATCGCTCGAGTGACCAAGTGTTCGCTTCGAGCGACCTGGTCGGGTTTATATACGCAGTTAGCGGTTTTTAAAACGTTTTTTTTACATCATTTTGATCTAAAACCCTAGTTCCGAGTTCGCTCTCCCCTACTCACCTTCTCTCTTAGGTTTCATCACCCTTTTTAAGGGTGTTTTCTTACCTAGTTGCTTTATTAAAAAAGATAGAGTGAGTCGAGGGTTCCATTTGAATCTGGAACGTTGGTGGTTTGGA